GGGAGAAATAACAAACAATGAGGGAGACAAATAGCACACCTCTGGAGTCTGTTGCCAGGGCCTGAGGGTGGGCAAATGGTTCCCAGAGGAAACATGCCTGAATTGAGATATAAAGAATGAATAAGACTAGTGAAGGGAAGACTCTTTTTCCATTGTGGAAAAGTGTGGTTAACAAATAAAGAAGATGGGCCTCCGTGGTGGCACAAGGGGTTAAGACGCAACCAAGCTATCTGCAGCCACTGCAGCAGGAGTTTGATCCCCAGACAGGGAGCTGTAACAGGGTGGTCCCCAGGAAAAGGGGAAGTTCCAGGTTCCCTGCCCCACCCAAGGGAGGGTGGAGCTGAGCAGGGAGAGAAGCAGCAGAAGAGACTGAGGAAGGAAGAGGGATGGAGCCAGGAGACCTGGAGGAGGCGGTGGAGCCTAGAGACACGTGAAGAAACTGTGCTTGTCTTTTGGTCGTGGACTGGGTGACACAGATGTGGGTGAGACCCATGGAGAGGTGACAATGGCAGCTTTTATCTTGATGTTGATTTTGCTCTTTTCCTTCCGGGCTTGTCTGGTTGTTTCTGACCCTTTGCTGTGGGTCCCCACTGGAAGATGCTTTAGACTTGTGGCAGGCTTTGGGGCCTTATTCTGGGCCGATCCCATATGGATGGACTTTTACCCACGAGGGGACGGGTAACTTTGGGTGCTTCATTTAGAAACTAGACTCTTTGCCTTACCTGTATTGTTTCCTAGTTTTATTAAAGTTCCTTCCCATTAAAGTCTCATATGTTTTGTGTTGATGCGGCGGATGGCAGAACCCATTTAGAATAGGCAGGTTTGCGGGGTTTGGGCTGACCCTCTCCCTGCTCTATAACAGATTTGGCGTCCAACGTGATTTAGGACAGAGCCATCTGTGGTTAGTCAGCCCCATGGGGAAATTGGGCCTCTCTATGGCACTGGCTACCATAAGCGCAAATGTTATTTTTGGTTTCTCCAGTGTGTTTGTTTCATATGTTGATTTGCTGTTGAAAAACTGGCTTGGGCTGTCCCCGGCCAGGGAGAAACCCACATGGCGCAGCAGACCTCTCCTGTCTTGCCCGCTGCTCCCCTCAGCAGTGTATTTCAGTCAGTCTGCCTGTTCTGTTCCCTACTCTGTCTCTGGTGAATCCTCTCACCCCCCTATCCCCAACATCTCTGGCCTGTACCCCAGTTCTTGTATGTGTAAATAAATAATTTTTTTTTTTTTAAGATTTATGTATTTATTTATACAAGCACTGGGTACAGTCGGAAGCACGGGAGGGTGAGAGAATTCACCAGAGCCAGGGCGGGGAACAGAACAGGCAGACCCACGAAGTACACTGCTGAGGGGAGCAGCGGGCAGCAGGAAAGGTCTGTGCGCCATGTGGGACCCTCGCCCGGCAGCCGGGGATCGAAACAGCGCTGCAGAGGCTGCGGGCAGCTTCACAACCCAGCACTCAACCGCTGCACAACCAGGAAGGCCCTAAAAATAAATTTAAAAAAAAAGGAAGGGAGATAATGATGCCTACCTCACAGCATTATGAGAATTGAATAATATATACAATGCATTTAGCACAGTGCTTGGCATGTGTCAGTTACTTGGTGAATGTTTAATTTCCACACTTCCATCCATTTCTGGAGTCCCAAGCACTTAGGGGCTAATTAGATTAATATCTGTCATCTATTTTGACCTTCAAATTTTAAGCATTTTACATTCACAATTTAATGAATCTTCATAAAAATCTTAGTGGGAAGTACTATTATTATTCCCATTATATAAATGAAGAAACAGAGGCAAAAAGAAACCAGAACAATAGCTAACAAATTGCAGAATAGGATTCAAACTCAAGTTTGACTAATTTTTACCCACTACCCCTATAGTGTCTTGCATTGCATTGTTACCTCTTGCAGGTTTTGTTTACCAAACCAAATGACAGGCTAATTTAGGACAAGAACCTGATTTTATACATTTGTTGTAAAACAATAGTTACATTTTATTGAGCATCTACTATGTGACACCTAGTTTTTTTGCATTATTTCTAATCCTCATAACAGATTTATATTTTATGTATTATTTTCCCCATTTTACAGATTAGGAAAATAAAAGGGGTTAATTAACTTGGCCAAGGGAGTGGAGACAGGACAAGAATCCTGACATAGGTAAGCCTGATACTTATCAAGATGATGGTCAATAACATTTGTGTTTGTTTTTTAAAATGTTATTTAAGCATCCAAGAACTGGAGTATAGGCCAGAGGTGGAGGAAGGGCCTAGAGGATTCACCAGAGACAGAGTGAGGAGCATAACAGGCAGATCTACTGAAATACTCTGCTGAGGGGAGCAGCAGGTGAGATAGGACAGGTCTGCTGCACCATGTGGGTTAGCTCCTGGCCAGGGATAGAGCTCTTGCTACAGTGGCTGCCGATGGCCTGATAGTGCTGAGACTTAACCCCCTGTGCCACCAAGGGGGCCCTAACATTTGTGTTTGATAGGTGGGAATGCACAGGGCTATATTCACCCAATCCCTGGATGTCTCCCTCTGGCATGACATTAGACAATAGCAGTGAATTTGGAGGAGAGGCAATTGTTGGAGAGGTATCCATCTCTTCCAAATGTGTGGAAATAAAAATTTAGAGTTCACAATATAAGGAGTCAAAAAGGTTACTGTGAAATCTCTGTGTTCACTCACTGAACATAGGCCACTATGAGCAAAGTCCTTCTGGGGAGTTTTGTAGTGAATGGACAGATAATGTTAACCCAGAAGGGATGTATTCTATGTGCCAAGCACTGTCGTCAACGCTTAATATGGATTAACTCATATAATTTCCAAGTAAGGACTGTCATCATCCCATATAACAGCTGAGGAAAAGAAAGTACAGAAAGGTTAAAGGGTTCGGGACTCCCTGGTGTCACAAGGGGTTAAGCACCGCACTATGAAGCTATCAGCAGCCTCCGCAGCACGAGTTCGATCCCCAGCCGGCCAGGGAGCTACCCACATGGCGCGGCAGACCTCTCCTGCCTCCCCAGCTGCTCCCCTCAGCAGTGTACTTCAGTCAGTCTGCCTGTTCTGCTCCCCACTCTGTCTCTGGTGAATCCTCTCATCTCCCCATCTCTGGCCTGTACCCCAGCTCTTGTATGCATAAATAAATAAATCTGGGGAAAAAAAAAAAGGTTAAAGGATTCATCCCAGAACTCCAAGTGGTGGCGTTTGGGACACCTGGCAGTGATTTCAGACCTTGAGAGTCTCCAAATAACTGTCAGAGATTGAAGCACAAAAGCCGGGGTAACTCTAGCAGGGCGCAGGGCCGACGCTTCCGGGGCAGAAAAGTTACCAAACTGCCCGCTGCCCGCTTGCCTGCCGGCGAGCACGTCTCCACCCCCAGCTCTCCCCGTTCCGGGACTCCCCGCCCCCCTTCCCGCCCCGCCACAGATGCCCAGAGAGTAGGGCAAGGGTCGAGGCGGGCTAGGCCCCTCCCCGGCCGCGGGTCGGGCCCTTTTTCGCGGAGCCCCCGGGGCGTGGGAACTTCCGGGTCGGGCCGGCCCCGCCCTGGGTGTCCCGGCGCCGAGCTCTGCCCGCTGCCCCCTCCTCCAGGGGAGGACGCGAGTGGAGCCACCGCGGCTGCCCCTTCCACGGTGCGGGGTTCCTCTCCGAGTCTCCCCGGACTCTTTTTTCCAAGCTCCGCTATTGGGTCCTGTTAGGACAGAAGGTCCACACTTCTTTGATTGGGGGGTACGGGGTGCCTAGAAAGGCTTCCCAGCCCCCAAATCTGGGCATGAGGTTGGATCGTGACCTGCCCGCCCATCAGTTCAATCTGAAAGCATCCTTAAAAGCCATCTGGGCTACATTTTAGAAGAGGGAACAGGATCAGTGAGCGCAGGGACTTGTCCCTGGGAAGCCAGGCGCAGACACAGGGCCAGGGCTTATTTATTTATTTTTTTATTTTGGCCTTAATATGTTGGCTACAACTTTTTTTTTTTTTTTTTTTTTTTACAATATTTGATTTCTCCCCTCAGGTGTGGTCACCCACCACCAAAGCACCCATAGTCCATCACCCTATTCCCATGGGCTCCCCCCTGTTTTCAACCCCCCATGTCCAACCTCTGCCCCACTCCCCGCCCCATTTCATATTTTGTTAAACGACGTGACAGACTCATAGAAAACAGAATTTGGCATGATGTAAAAGGGCCGCACCATGTTCAGATATAGATGGCAAATTCAACCCGGGACTGGGAATGGAGAGGTGATTTCTGGAATGTCAGTGCCTCTAAGATATGAGACAACGGCTGCCAGTGCAATGGGGTGTCTGGAGCCCGCTGACAAAGGGCTTTGTTGGTCTAGCGGATGAAGCCATTCCCTGCTGCCCGGGCCTCATGCGATCGGAGGGTCCGGTGGCGCACCTGAGGGCTGGATGGCGCACCTGAGGGCTGGGTGGGGCACCTGAGGGTCCGGTGGGGCACCTGAGGACTAGGTGGGGCACCTGAGGGCTGGGTGGGGCACCTGAGGCCTGGATGGCGCACCTGAGGGTCCGGTAGGGCACCTGAGGGCTGGATGGCGCACCTGAAGGTCCGGTGGGGCACCTAGGGACTAGGTGGGGCACCTGAGGGCTGGGTGGGGCACCTGAGGGCTGGATGGCGCACCTGAGGGTCCGGTGGGGCACCTGAGGGCTGGGTGGGCGCCCCCGGGGTGTTCCCCCCCGCCATGGAACGGGGCATGTGCTCCCTGCTGCCTTCTAAAGTTTCGTGCGGCAGGAGCGGGTAGGGAAGTCAACCGCACGCCTCTCCCCGCGGCGCGACCTCGGTGACTCACGGCCGCAGGCGTGTTTTAACTCTCGTCGCTGTGACGCGCGATCACTGCGCGCGGACCCCGGCCGCCCCCGCCGGGGGCGGGGCCGCGAGCGCGCCGGGCGAGGACGTGCGGGCTGCAGCGCGCGTGCGCGGGGCGGGCGCGCCTATAAGAGGGGGTGCGGGCGGCGCGGTCGTGCCACAGCTGCCCGAGTGGACGCCTCGCGGCGCGCCTGCACCGCCTCTCCCGACTGCGGCTCGACGCGCGGTTACAGCCAGCCGGCCACCCCAGCCCTTCCCCCCGGAGGTAAGCGGCTCTGTGCTCCCCCTGACCCCCCCCCCCCGCCCCTCGGCCTCCACCCCCGTCCCCACCCCTCAGGCTGAGCCACGGGTTCCCGGACTGAGGCGGCGCCCCCGGGGGGCTCCCCTCCCCCTCGCCCCGTCGCTGTCTGGGCCCCCAGTTAGCCGCCCTGCCCTGCTTTGTCCAGGGGTGGCTCTGACTAGGGTCCTCGCCGTGGATCTGTGATTTAGGCGCCCTACCATGCCCCCCCAAAGCAGCCTAGTACCTCCCCATCACAGCGCTTGGCCTATGTGTGCGTGGTAACCGCGTGTTTTTTCCTTGCCTGTCTCCCTGGACTGTCTCCCTGGCAGGCTTCACCGCCTCGCGAGGCCCTAGTACCCTGTAGTGCCTAGTACGTTGTGGGTGTTCAGAGTGTATTTGTTAAATAAGTGAAATTGGTAGAGTCTCTCCTCTTAATTATTTTGTCTTTGAAAAACTTTGTGACTAATTTGAAGCTGTGAACCCCACGAAAAGACTCGATCTTTACTTCAGGAAGGTTGGCATTCTCCAGGCTGTGGCGTAGGGATCATGCATCACAGAGGAAGTAAATTTTTACTTTGAGAGAAAAAAAAATTGAAGGAGCATTCCGACAAGACTGCCTCCTCAGCCGTGGAGTTTACAGTCCGCAGATACTTGAACATTCTGCTTCAAAGAACAAGCCGCTGGGCCCTGTCTCCCTGGCTGGCTGAATCTCTCCTTTTAGCTCCATGAAGGGTGAAGGCCAAAGGCATACAAATCCCAAAAGACAGGAGATTAACCTCCAGCCTCTCTTTCCTCAGGATCCAGAGGCCTTTCAGAAGTAGAAGGCGACTTGACTCTACTGCCCTGCAAAGGAGTGGAATTCTTTCAGCCATGAAGCACGTGTTAAGCCTCTACCTCCTGGGCGTGGGGCTCACGGTGCTCTCCATCTTTGTGAGGTTGATGGAGTCACTGGAGGGCTTACTGGAGAGCCCATTGCCTGAGAGTTTTTCGACCACCAGAGGTCACCTGGCCAGCACACAGCCCCCCAAGGGTCTTCCAGACCACCCATCCAGAGGGGTGCAGTAAGACCTCCCCTGACTGCAGTAACTTTAGAACACTGGCCTAAACTCCAGCCAGGTGTCCTCAGGTATAGACAGAGTGGCAGTGTTACCAGGAAACTGTTTTGAGGCCCAAGAAGAGCCTCCCCGTCTGGATGTGCCATGACCTGGAGAAACCTGTTTAATACCCAGTGTGAGGGCGTTGTCTATGACTGAGGTGGAGTGACCTCGTTCCTCTCCCCAGGGGTGCTGGACACCCTGCTGTCTTCTGCAGCATAGCCCTGGTGTGGCAACATCAGCCAATGTTTTCGCTTCTACTCCCCGGACATCTGCTGAGGGTTTCTTTGGATCTGGGTGTCTTGGGATCTGACTTCCACGAGAGCTCCCATGTGGATGACAGTGGGGGCTGTGGGGACTGACTCTAGGGAAGGGGACAGCAAAGCTCAGTGTCTAGTACTCATTGTTTTACATTTTTCAACACCTTCCTTCAGTGTGTCTGAAGGGGGCAAGGAGACACCAAAGCCTGCTCAGGATGTGAGCATATCGTGGCCACTGCGTGGCCTAAGTGAATTTTTCCAGTGAAATAAAGTTGAGTGTATATCTCCTTTCTGTGTCATTAGCTTCTGTCATTGAAATTGGTGCTAGATCTTTCTAGAGCTAAAGTTTAATATGTGAAAAGTTTGGAGTAGGAATGAGCTTAAAACACTTTTGTTGAAAACAAAAAGAAAGTGAGGGCCTCTCTGGTGGCGCAGCGGTTGAGCACTGGGTTGCAAAGCTACCCGCAGCCTCTGTGGCGCCGGTTCAATCCCCAGCTGCTCCCCGGCCACCGGAGGAGGGTCCCGCAAGGCGCGCAGACCTCTCCTGCCGCCGCTGCTCCCTTCAGCAGTGTACTTCGGTCCCTCTGCCTGCTTTGCTCCCCGCTCTGGCTCTGGTGAATTCTCTCGCCCTCCCGCGCTTCTGACTGTACCCAGTGCTTGTATAAATAAACAAACAAATAAATCTTTAAAAAAAAAAAAAAGTGAATTTGGGGCAGGGGACAGTGGAGTCTGCCCTGTGTCAACCAGGCTTGTCTGAGCTTTGGCCAAAACTATGACAGTCCTCTCTTGACTTTATAAAGAAAAAGAAATGATCATTCCAACCCCCTCAGCTTCAGACTGGGGTGAAGAGCCTGATCAGCCTGGGAAGTCATAGCTTCTGCACACCCAGCCCTTTGAGTAGTGAAGGTCAGCTGTTCAGCTAAGGTCAGTTGTTTAGATCTTCCAGATCTAAACACCTTGGCTTTTACTCAAAAACACGGGCTTTCTGTTTCTGTGTCCTCCAGTCCTCACCCCCATCCCATGCTCAAGCATATCCACTCTTCACTCACAAGTGCTATGTCTCCACATTCTCATCTTGCTGTGGGCATCATTTCATGTTTGTTGGGCTTGATTTCTTTTTGCCAAAGAGCAAGAAATGGAGCATGGTGTGTTCTAATCCAGCTTTGCTTCCTGAGTGTTAAACTTAGATGTTAAACAACTGCCCTAGAAGCCAGTTGTTTGGGAATAACTTATTTATTGCAGACATCAGTGTTGTCTAGCTTGGTGCCTTCAGGGGGAGTGGTGACATTGTACCCCTTGTCCTTTGTGCTTGGTTGGGCTTATATGACTTGTCTTTTGGTAGCTTGGTGCTTTCAAAAATACAGTTGGCTTTTTATCTCTATTTCAGGCAGTTTCATGTGCCTGTAGCCTTGCTTTTCTAGATATATTTCTAAAATTCAATGTATTCTCCCCCATCCAAGTACTAACCAGGCCCAACCCTGTGTAGCTTCTGAGGTCAGATGAGATCAGGCACATTCAGGGTGATATGGCTATAATTTATTTTCTCATTCTCCTGCCTCTTAGACTAATTTGGGGTGTTGTGAACTTTCAATTGGAAAACCACACTTTAAGTCTCTTTTCGAGCCTTTAGTTTGATTGAAATGGTTTCCTGGGCCTCACAATGTTTACAGCATCTTTGTTCTAACAATTTAACCACAGATATGATGACCATACTATTATTTCAATCTTTCCTATGACTAGGGTGATCAACTGCCCCTCTTCTCCTTGGCATCCTCCTGGGATGCAGGAATTGCAGTGCTAAGATTGCGCAAACCAAGACATTTGTTTAGAAACAAAGCTGAGTTTGAGCTGGCTTTTTTCACACTAACATTTCTCAATTTATCTTCTACCAGTTAAGGAGGAGAGGCAGTGGCTGCCGTGAACCCTGTAAGCCCACGGACTTCTTTAGTCTCTGGAGATGGATCCTGTGCGCCTACTTGCTAGCTGGCATTCCTTGCTGGGTCATCTTGTGATCCTTTGTCAGTGGCAACAAACAGTATCCAATTCATGCTGCTAAAATTCTGTGCTCTGACTCTTACTCCTCCCTTATTAAATTAGAAGGTATATTTTTTAAATTACTGCAGCCAAATTTACCAAATACTTTGCTACTATGAGTGTTGCCATCCTTGCAGCCTTTTTTTTTTTTTTTAATTTTTTAAAAAAGCTTTATTTATTTATACAAGCACTGGGTACAGTCATATGTGCAGGAGGGTGAGAGAATTCACCAGAGCCAGAGCGGGGAGCAGAGCAGGCAGAAGGACGGAAGTACACTGCTGAGGGGAGCAGCGGGCGGCAGGAGAGGTCTGCGCGCCATGTGGGACCCTCCTCTGGTGGCCGGGGAGCAGCCGGGGATCGAACCGGCACTGCAGAGGCTGCGGGCAGCTTCGCAACCCAGCGCTCAACCGCTGTGCCACCAGGGAGGCCCTTTGCAGCCTTTCTTAAGAGCTCTTATCCTCCAAGTAAATTAATGTGATAAATATTGTATTTATTTTAAACTATTTAAACTTGTATTTATTTTAAAAATATGCAGTATCCCCCTTTAGATTCCCATCTCCATATCATCCAAGGAAATGCCAGGTTTGCTGCAATAACAGCTGTAAAATCTCTCAGGAGCATAAAACAGGGCAATTGCCTCAGGATCTCCTCCCAGGAGGCAGAATTGGGCCCTAATCAAAGACTGTTCTCTTCCTCCAGGGTAAGGGCTATCATCACATCTGCTTAGTGGAGTATCACGATCACCAGCCTGCTGTGTCTCCTGTTCCTCCTTTCTCCTTAATGCATGCATATGTCCTGTCCCTACTCCACCCTAGTATATTGGGTGCACGGAGCACATGGCCTGTCTTTTTACTTCACAGAGTTCCATCTCAAGTCACATGTGAAACCAGCATATAAACAATTGTGCTTTCTCAGAGATTCTTGATTTTGAACTTGATCTTATGGGTGAGTGGAATTCTTGGGTTGTGCCCTTAGCGAGGAGGTATAGTAAATGTATTACATGGCCGTTAGACTAGCAGGGTTGTTAGTGGTAGTCATGAATGTTCTGCAAATATTTATGACCTTGCCTTGTAGGCACATGATAGAATTGCATGTCCTGACTAGCTGGATGGGCCCAGGCGATTATGGCCAATGAGTTGTAAATGGAGGGGCCTCCCTGGTGGCCAAGGGGTTAAGCACCGCACTATGAAGCAGTCTGCAGCCTCTGCAGCACGAGTTCAATCCCCAGCTGGCCAGGGAGCAGCCCACATGGCGCAGCAGACCTCTCCTGTCTTGCCCACTGCTCCCCTCAGCAGTGTATTTCAGTCAGTCTGCCTGTTCTGTTCCCCACTCTGTCTCTGGTGGATCCTCTTACACATACCCCCTCCCCCGCTGCATCTCTGGCCTGTACCCCAGCTCTTGCATGCATAAATAAATCTTTTTTTAAAAAAAGAGTTATAAATAGAAATAGAAATGGTTTGTGTCCATTCTAGACTGGAACAGATTTTTTTTTTTTTACATTTAGAAGTTTGATGTTTTTGAGTTTTCAATGAAAAACTATTGTTCTAATAAGCAGCTTTTTGAGAGCAAAAACACAAAATTCCTTTAAGATATTTTTACAGTCCCTGTATACCTTTTTTTCCCCTCCAGCAAACCACCCTTGCTCATCTCCCATCTGCCTCCCTCTGCCATCCCCTCCATCTTTTTCCCTAGTCCTCTGCTAACCGTTATCTTCTGTTTGCCAAGTTCAAGTTGTATTCCTTCTATTCTTTGCGTATAAATGGCTTTTTGGTACTTATATTCCAGAGATGAATGAAACCATCTGATATCCATCTTTCACTTTTATTTATTTTTAAAATTTTTTTTTTTAAGATTTATTTATTTATTTACACAAGCACTGGGTACAGTCAGAAGCGCAGGAGAATGAGAGAATTCACCAGAGCCAGAGCGGGGAGCAGAGCAGGCAGAAGGACCCAAGTACACTGCTGAGGGGAGCAGCAGGCGGCAGGAGAGGTCTACCCGCCATATGGGACCCTCCTCCGGAGGCCGGGGAGCAGCTGGGGATCGAACGGCGCTGCAGAGGTTGCAGGCAGCTTCGCAACCCAGCGCTCAACCGCTGCGCCACCGGGGAGGCTCCATCTTTCACTTTTAGACTGATTCACTCAACATAATCACCTCAAGGTCCATCCATTTTGTCCCAAATGCCATGGTTTCATTTTTCTCCAGAGCTGTGGAGGTTGGAGCACTTAAGCACTGCTTCAAACCCACAAGGCCTCTTTCCTTCCTCCCCAGTAACCAGCAATGCTCCAGATGGGAATATTTTATTAGTTTAGGACCTCCCATGAAGATAGCATGGAACAGAGCCCCCAACAGATCCCTGATGAACACAGAATAGAAATGAGAAGTAAACCTTTATTGTGTTAAGTTACTGAGGTTTTGTAGGGGGGAGAGGGGATTTCACTCTAGCATAACTTGACCTGTTCACAGCACCTACTGGGTGCCAGGCATCGATTAAGGTCTCATCAATACCTATCTCAAATTACATATACAAGATAGTAGAGGGAAAACACGTAAACGGTGTTTCATGACTGTTGCATACAAATATGTGTATAGGACACAGGGTCCATAAAGTTACTTGCTGGGTGGAGGCAGATATCAGGGAAAACTTTAGAGGGTCTGAATTAAAAAAATGAATAGGTGGTCGTATTAGGAAAAAGTTTTCCCATAGAACAGTGTGAGGGCCTCCCTGGTGGCGCAAGGGGTTAAGCACCGCACTATGAAGCAATCCACAGCCTCTGCAGCATGAGTTCGATCCCCGGCCAGCTAGGGAGAAACCCACATGGCGAGGCAGACCTCTCCTGTCTCGCCCACCACTCCCCTCAGCAGTGTATTTCAGTCAGTCTGCCTGTTCTGTTCCCCACTCTGTCTCTGGTGGATCCTCTCACCCCCTGCATCTCTGGCCTGTACCCCAGCTCTTGTATGCATAAATAAATAAATCTTAAAAAACAAACTAACAAAAAAAAGAACTGTGAGCAAGGGCATGGAGATTAACCTAAGCAAGTCTACAAATACGTATTGTAAATCACCGTTATTAGTGTGAGACCTTAACTCTAGTGCCATCTAGTGGGAACTAGAAAGAAAGGAAATATTTTATGTTCTGTTACGCTTTCTGAATTTGAAAGGCTGTGCAGGTAAAGCTTACGATATCAAAAATGTTATTGGCTGGAACATATGAGCTAGTCTAGCCCCGTCCTATAAAAAATACAATATAAAACTTATAATAATATATACAGAATTTGACTTTTCCTAAGTCAGTTTTTAAAAAGCCATTTAATTTTTTTCTAATTCAATTTTAGTAATTTTGTGTAACATTTGTATAGACCAGCTAAGTC